CTTACTCAGGATGGTCTCGAATTCCTGAGTTCAAGTCATCTTCCCGCCTTGGCCTCCCAGAGCACTGGGATTACAGGTGTGAGCCACTGTGCCTGGATACCCAGTGATTCTTATAAAGATTTAAGTCTATCCAATTGTTTTTAATTGCTATTCCTTTTGCCTGTCACTTTTTATATATGCTTTGATGACACAGAGACCATGCCATACTTTGTACATAGGCATAGTTAGTATGGCATTGAGTGGGTTTTCTATGCTTTATGCTTCCTGTAAAGGTTTATTGGTTCCAAAGCACTTGCAAATCTATAGCATCCTTGGATCCTCACCTAGGAGGCGTCTCTCACTCTCAGGAAACTGAGGCTTCGAGAGGTGATGAGGTAGGATTACCTGACCGGGAAGTGGTGGAGTTGGGACCGGACGGTGGTTCTTTGGACCCTGGTTCTTATGTTTGTTTCTACTCCTAAGCTGCCTTGCGCTAGGAAGATTTTTTGAGTTACCTACATGTTTTTACCCAGTCCGGGGCTTGTGTGAGGTAGGCTTGTCCAAGTCAGGCGTGCACTCTCTGGGCACGGAGGCCAGTCTGGCCACGTATCAAGTAGAAGTTAGGCATGGCTGATGATTGATTGATTGACATCGCACCTGTTCACGGAAGCGTTGAAGCAGCTCATTTACTCTAAAGAAAGATGGCATTTATTGTGCACTGAATGCCAGATGTTGAGCTAATTGCATCTTACTTTGCTAGATTCACATAATTTCACTGAGAAATGCCGGTAGGAGTGATAGCCGTGTGCTACCCAGGGTGCTGGCTCTCTAACTTCACAGTTATATAACTGATAAATGGCCGAGTGAGATTTCAGACTCAGGCAGTCTGCTCCCCAAACCATTGCTCTTAGTTCCTACCCTGTGATCTCCAAGCCGAGTTGGAAGGACATTCCAGGCAGAGGCACCTATAAGTGTGTGGAAGCAGGAACTGGTCAGGCAGGAGAGGAGCTGCAATGGCTGGATTGTGTAAGCTGCCCTCGGTCACATAGCCAGCGTGACAGAGCTAGGGTTTCATTTCAGGTCACCGTGACTCATTGCCACGAGGCTATGCTGCCTGTCAGGGAATGGGCTTGGGCCTTCTGCTCTTGCATGTCCAGAGCAGTAAAGCCATACGGGACGCTTACCTGGGACTGGGAGTCACAGGTGTTCCCAGCACACCTTCTTCCCTACAGCACGTCTCCTCTCCACAGGGTGAGGACAACCTGAGATTCTCTAACGACAGAGGCAGGTGGTATGGTGAAACGAAGGAACACAGGCTCCGAGTTCTGACCCCGCCATCTGCCGGCTGTGTGACATGGGCCAGTTCCTTAGCCTCCCTGTGCCTGTCCCTCACCCTTCTCTTCACTTGTTTTATATTAAATGTTTCTTTTGGAGGCTTTATAAGGATTAAATAAGATGATCTATGGAAAGCACATGGCACATAGGAGATGCTCAGATGCTCAATATGTGTGATATTTACTGTTAATATTCTTAACAAATGTTTTTCTTTGTTATAAATCTCTAATAATTACGTGTAACTCTTGTTTAAGCAACATGTTAAAAAGTAAGAAATGGAATTCTAAGTTACAGTCTTTTTCCCAAGTAGGAAAAAAGAAGGGTTATAAATTTTAAGGTGAATTTCACTAAATGGGGATGGACGTTTTTGGGTTGACTTCTATGGGATATTAAAAGTTATTGTCATATTTTAAGTTAATGGAATCCATATGGTCACTCACTCTTTTTCAAAAAAGGAAACCATAGAAATAAAAATATCAAGTATAATTAATCAGTAAATGTTATTACTCTACAGCTTTAAACATCACACAAACAAATGAAAAATCTAACTCCTCCACCTACAGTTCCTCCCTCAGAGGAAACATATTCTTTTTTTAAAAAATTTATTAATATCTCATGGATGTCTATTTTATAGCTTTTTAAAAAATGTTTAACAGCATAAGGCATCATTAATATACCATAAAATTTAGCCACTGTAAATGTGTGATCTTAGTAGATTTATACGTTTGTGCAGTCATGACCATACTCCAATGTAGAATATTTTTATTGCTCTAAAAGTTTGCAATAATCCTCTAGATTATTAAAGATAATAATCTGTTTGCATAATCTCTAACCTTAGTCATAGTTAATGGTTTATCTGTCTTCCGTCTTTAGAGTTGCTCTGTGAAGGGACTTTTGTGGGAATGAAATCATACAAGGTTTGTTTTTTGTGTCTGTGTCTTTTCACTTAGCCCTGTGTTTCCAAGGGTCGACTGTGTTGTTACACATACCAGTGGTTCCTGCCTCTTTCTTCCTGCGTAGTATTCCATTGTATGGACATACCACACTTTGTCTAACCTTTTGTTAGACTATGATGGATATTAGGTTTGTTTCCAGCTTGGGGATATTACAAATAGGTCTGCTGTGAATATTCACATAAAGTCTTCATGTTTACATATGTTTTTATTTTTCTTGGGTAGACACCTAGGAGTGTAATTGCTGGGTTGTGTGGTAAGTTAGGTTTAAAAACCTGCTCAAGTTTTTCTTCAGTTACATTGTCTACTTTTTCCACAGTTCTCCAACACTTGGTGTCATCAGTTGTCAAATATTACTGCTCTAGAAAGAGTGCGGTGGTATCTCATTGTGATTTCAATTTGCATTTCCTTAATAACTGACGACGTGGAGTTTGTCATTTATATGTCATCTTTGGCACAGTGTCTTCTTAGGTCATTGCCCTTTTTCTAATTGTGTGGGGTTTTTTTGTAAGCGTTCTTTATAAGAGTTCTTCTTATATTCTATATGTAAGTATATGATCAGATGTATGATTTGCAAATATTTTCTTCCAGTCTATAGCTTATATTTTCATTTTATAATTATTTCTTTTGAAGAGGAGAATTTTAAAATTTTGATGAAGTCAAATCTGTCAGTTGTTTTAAGAAATCTTTGTCTAACCCAAAGTCATAAAGATTTCCTTCTCTTTTTTTCTATAGATTTTATAGTTTTAATTTTTACATTTAGGAATATGATACAATTTGAGTTAATTTCTGTACAGGGAGTGTGAGTTAAGAGTTAAAGTTCTTTTTTTTTTTTTAATGTAGTCATTTAGTTCTAGAAGGACAAATAGTCTCTCTTTTCCCCATTGAATTGTCTTGGCACTTTTATCAAAAACCAATTGGCCGTAGATGTTTTGATTTGTTCCTTATATTCTATTCTGTTCTATTGATTTATACATTTATCCTTATGCCAACACTACATTGACTTGGTAATGCTAGTTGTATAGCAAATTGTTAAATCAGGTGACATGAGCCTTCCAAGTTTGTTCATCTTTTTTCAAAAGTGTTTAGGCTCTTCTGTGACCTTCGCATTTCTGTATACATGTTAGGAATAGCTTGTGGGTGTCCACCCAAAAAATAAGTAAATAAAATCTACTAGGATTTTAAGAGAAATTGTGTAGATCTATAGATTAATTTGAAGAGATTGCCATCTTAACAATGACGTATTTCCATTTTATGAGTATGGTATATTTCTACCATTTGTAGCAATATTTGGTAGTTTTCAGGGTAAAGGTTCTAAATTTACTTTGAGAAATTCATTCCTGAGCGTATTAGTCAGAGTTCTCCAGAGGGATGGAATCAGCAGGAGACGCGTATGATGGGGGGAGATTGGCTCATGCCATTAGAGGTGAAGACCCATGCCAGGCTGTCCGCAGGCTGGAGAGTGAGGGAAGCCTGCAACACGGTTCCCAGGGAGGCAGGAGCTTTGCGGAGTCCGGGTCTGAAAGCCTCAAAGTTAGGGAAGCTGAGAGCACAGCCCCTAGTCTGAGACCAAAGGGCTGAGAGCCCCCGCGGGCTACTGGTGCAAGCCCCAAGTACAAAGGCCAAAGAATCCAGACTCTGATGTTCAGGAACAGCAGGAAAAGGCGTCCTGCCCCGGAAGGGAGAGAGTGGAGAAGCTAAACAAGCTGATACCCCCTTCTTCTGTCTGCCTTGTTCTCACGGCCCAGCAGCTGACCAGATGGCACCTGCCCACCCTGAGGGTGGGTCTTCCTCTCCCAGGGGACTGACACACATGTCAGTCTCTAGAAACACTGTCACAGGCAGAACCAGAAACGATGCTTTACCAGCCACGCAGCCGTCCCTCAATCCAGTGAAGTTGACACCTCATACTGGCTAAACAGAAAAGAAAGCGAAAGGATCTACAAAAGAAGAGATGCTAGAACTAATAAGAAAGTCCATTAGATCATATAGGATGCAAGATTAACATAGAAAAATTAACTGTATTTCTACGTACTAGCAACTACATAGCAAAAACGAAATTAAGAAAATCATTCTGTTCACAGCGGCATCAAAAGTAGCACTTTTGGGGCCCCATCGTGGTGCCACATGGGTGACTGAGACAGGAACACGCTTGCTTTCTGATGGTTCAGTGTACAAAACTTTGTTTCGTGTGCAAAATTATTAAAAATATTCTAGAACATTATCATCAGGCTATGTATGTAGAGTGTATATGAAACATAAATGAATCTCCTATTTAGACTTAGTTTCAATCTTCAAGATATCTCATTGTGTATATGCAAATATTCCAAAACCCAAAATTTCTGAAATCTAAAACATTTCTGGTCCTAAGCATTTTGGATAAGAGATAGCAACTTATACTATTAATCTTTTACATTTTTGCCATATGAAAAGCAAAAATTTTGGTATATTTTTATTTGCACTTACCTAATTGTAGTTGAGAATATTATCGTATGCTCTTCAACCATTTCTTTTTATTTTATAAGGTGACTTTTTGGGTCCTTTGCTTAATTTTCAATTGGTGATTATTTTCTTATTAATTTTTAAGATCGTTTGGTATTTTAGTGATAATAACTTTTATCTGTTTAATGTTATAATCTTTTTTCTTTTTTGTGATTTATTCTAGTTGTAATTTGTCCTTCAACATTTCAAACCCTGGTGTTCTGATTTATGCTTTTGTTTGTTTTAAAACAGAAAGTTGTACAAGGGATCGATTTAAACCAAATCCGAGGACTTGGGTTTGATGCCACGTGTTCTCTGGTTATCCTGGATAAGCAGTTTCGCCCTCTACCAGTGAACCATGAAGGTAGGACCCTTCCTCTTCCTTTTCCTGGTGATGGGGGATCAGCCGGGGCAGACTTGGTTGATAGATCAGAGAATCCAGGTGAAACTTGGGTCAGGCATTTCTTGCCTCTGACAGTGAGGTTCAGAGGTAGAGGGAAGGGAACAGAAATCATGTCCCAGAAGTGAAAACGCTGGACAGTAACTGGCATGAGCATGGTGGTGTTGGAACTGGGTGAGGGGAGACGTGACTTCACAAAGCACAGGAGCCACAGCAGAGAGCCTGATGAAGGGAGACACAGGGTCATTAGCTCGGAGTGAGTAGCCAGGAAGCAGACAGGTGGTTTGGATGTTTCTGGGATGGCAGAGCCTTCAGCCACTGTGTGTGTGAAGTGCCTAGTCCATGTTCATTTGAATGGGTGAGACAAGTCCTTTTAAAGGACGTGGAACAAGGTAGATAGGATCATGTACATGGGTCATTATGAAAGTTTTGAGATACACAAAAATTGAGAAATGTAAAATCCGTGAGGACAGAAACAAATGAAGCCCTCACAGCAACACCTGTAAGCTGAGTGAGATGAAATGTGCATGGGTGAGTCAAAACAGAAACATGTCAACTGTGTTTCTAGGAAGGGAAATAATGGACCATCACACAGCCTGTTTTAGAACTTTCATCGTGACCTGTGTATCCCATAGAAGTAGAAGCAGATTGCTTCTCTCTTTTCAGTGGTCAGACCAAAAATTGTTCACATTTGATCATGTTGTTCTAATAGACATTGTGACTACAGAAATGTAAAGTGCCACTTGGGCCTGTCCTCAAGATAGTTCAGGGCAGGTGAGGTCATGTCTCTCTGGGGGACTTTAGCCAGAAATGCTAGCAGCGGGCTTGTGTTCATTCTGCAGTCGCCAGGTAGGTGATTCAAGTGAGTAAATTGAGTTAGGTTTGAGAACAACAGCACATGTGCAAAGATAAATTTCAATCAGTGTTTAACCTTGTAATGGGTGGAAGACATTAGGGAGTGACGGAGCCTGCAGTGCACTGGAGATTACAGCCCTATCTAAAGGGGGGGGTGTCTCTAGGCCACCATTGTCATCCAGCTGTTGCCAAGATAGCAACCATTGCAAACATGTTTGGTGCTAGAGTCTGTTTAAGAACCTTAGTTCTGGACCCTGCTGCAGCAGCACCTTTCTCAACTGTTGGCTGTGACGTGGTAGAGAGCACACCTGGACACAACAGAGCTGGAGCCAGGCAGGGACTGGTTCACAGGTCTGCTGTTGCCGAGTGTGACACCTCGGGTGAGTCCCTTAGGTCTGCATGTCACTGTTTCCTCCTCTGAAAGAACTGGAGTCCTGAAGCAATAGCTTTGCTGTGAGAATTAAGTGAGAGCCTAACACTGAAAATGCTCAAAAAGCGAGTTTGATCAGATTTTGAATTTTTCAAGTGAAGAGAGTATGTCCCACTAACTTCCATGGCCCTGATGCACAAATGGTGATTACTGTCATATAAATGACCTGTGCTGAAAAGGTGTGCAAACAGATGAGTGATCAGAGCACAGTGGTGATGACAACTTGCACACACACACACACTCCTCCCCACCCCTAACTTCTTGCCACGTTTATTAACAGCTACGATATGCCAAGGTCTGCCTTAGGAAGTGCCGGGGCTTCCAAGATGAATCTGAGTGGCCCTGATTGATTCTCAGTGGCCGTTTGCTTGCCCCATTGGTATTGTTCAGGCCCAGGGCAGGGCAGCCTCAGAGTCCAGAGAAGTGGTATTGAGCCGTCAGACTCAGCTCAGTGGCAGCACCTGTCTCTAACAGATGACGAGGTGTGCTCGGCAGGGATTCGGCCCCCTGGGGGGCTGTCAGGGCTTCCTTTATTGGCTTTAATATAAGTAGAGGTCAGGCGCTTGTCTGTTGGGGATGCTGTGGGTCAGGTGCCTCCTGCCAGTGATAGAGTTAGAATCGGCTTTACAGAAGTAGAGGTCAGGCGATTATTCATTGGGGCTGCTGTCTCTTGCTACTGTTAGTGAGAGTTAGAAGTGTCCCATGGAGGCCAGGGATCATGTCTTAGAAGTTAGAAGCTTAAAGAGCAATTGGTATGAATGGGGTGGCTGGCGGGGGTGGGGGTTAGGAAGAGACTTGGCTCCGTAAAGCCCCTGTAGAGAGCCTGATTAGGGTGGGACTTTAGATGTCAGGAGTCCTGTTTCATGGCATCTGTACCTTCTGATCGACTGAAGTGCATGTTTGTTTTTCCCCCTCTGATTGTGTGTTAGCATCATCTGGAGATCTTTTTCAAAAATCACTACTTCAGGCTAGGCCCAGTGGCTCACACCTCTAATCCTAGCACTCTGGGAGACCGAGGAGGGTGAATTGCTTGAGGTCAGGAGTTCAAGACCCATCTGAACAAGAGTGAGACCCCCCCCATCTCTACTAAAAATACACATAATTAGTCAGTCATTGTGGTGGGTGCCTATAGTCCCCGCTACTCTGGAGACTGAGGCAGGAGGATCTCTTCAGCCCAGGGGTTTGAGGTTGCTGTGAGCTAGGCTGATGCCATGACATTCTAGCCTGGGCACAGAACGAGATTCTGTCTCAAAGTAGAAATAAATGAATTATAACATTTAATTGGTAGTTTAAAAAATTACCAATTCATTGGCCTTACCCCCAACATTTGTATTCAGTCGGCTTGGGTAGGGACATTGATAATTTTGGCGATTGATAATTTTAAAATGTTTCCTTGGAAATTTTGGTACGTGGAGACTCACGGGGCACAGATGAATGGACAGTTAAAATACTAGGAACAGCAGCTTGAAGTGGGAGAGGAGAGCTCCGATGCCATCTTTGTTTTCATTGTAGGTGCAATGGCCTCCTGTTAACAGGCCCTCTCTTGAGAGGGTAGCTCAGTTACAGCCCTAATTATAAGTGTTGAAATAACTGTGCTCCACCGAAAAGGGTAAACTGTGCCCGTTCATCACATGCGTCCAGCTGCAGGTGCCCTCATCAGTTTCCTACCTTTCAACAGATTGTATGAAGGTTAGATCTTATCTGAAATGGATTATGCTGTGCTAGAAAATGAAATTATAATCTAAAGGTGCTATAAAGCATCTCTAAGGACCGCTTCTACCTGTGTGGCAGTGACCCAGGCCTGCTTGGTCAATGGGGGTGATTGTGAGGAGCAGGGAGTGGGATCCGGGAGGTTACAGACGACCCCAGTCACCATTAGAACCAAAGCAGACGGGCAGGAGCACTGCCACTGTTAGATGTTAACCCAAAGCATGAAAAACAGAAACTGGCCGGTTTAAGCAGAACGGTTTAGGAGTAATAAGCGTCATCGTGTGATAAAACAGTCTCATCCTCGTCTGTGTTTACTTGCTTGATTCTTCTTTGTTCCCTGAAGATCATAGCAGTGCGGGGTGGACAGCAGTGCAGGCTCTGGGTGCTCTCCTGCCCCTGCAGCAGCCCAGGGAGCTCAGAGCCCACTCTGTGGTGTCAGCCCAGCCAGGGAAGCCGTTGGGAGGGGGAGGAACCAAAGTGATAACTGGGGCTGGGAGAGGAAGTTAAGACCTGGGCGTCTCTGTGCACCAGAACCATAACATTTAGATGTTTTTGGCTGATTTGTAGTAATTTTCTCCTCTCTACTAGTATTCCTGGACCACATCTTGGTGAAGTGTTCAAAAGACTTACCCTGGGGAAACTGAGGTAGCTCCAATTCCATTTCCAGTTATCCTACAGGATGACGTCTTCTTGGCCTGTGCCCTGAGTCACCTGCTGTCTCTGCTGTGCAGGACTCGTTCCATCACTCTTCTTCTCCAGCGACTTGCAGAAGTAAATAAAGCTGTCCGGCCTTTTGGAAGCTGTGTGTGCAGCCTTAGGCTCAGCTAACAGGTCTTCCCTGCGCTCTTCCACTGCCCTCTCGCACGTGGGGCTTCCGTTCTGGCAGCCAGTCAGCACACACCAACTGGACCGCATGTGTTCCTGCAAGGCAGACATACGTGCTTCTGGGCAGCCCAGGACCCAGGACTGCCTGCCGTGTAGTAGGGGCCCAGTAAGAGATTAGACGAGTTTTCCGTTGAGTTGTTTATTTTCAGTCTTCTTTAGGAACTGAGAAATGTGTAACTTCTCAGGTTTTTTCTGAAGTGAAAATTGTTCGTTAATAATTCTAATAAATACGATAAAGTGAGTGATTCTGTACAATTTGGAGTCTCCCTCTGTCACCCTGGGTAGAGTGCTGTGGCATCATAGCTCACAGCAACCTCAAACTCTTGGGCTTAAGACATCCTTCTGCCTCAGCCTCCCGAGTAGCACCCGCCACAATGCCCACTATTTTTTTCTATTTTTAGTAGAGGTGGGGTTGGTCTCAATCTTGCTCAGGCTGGTCTTGAACTCCTGAGCTCAAGTGATTCACTCTCCTTGGCCTCCCAGAGTGCTGGGATACAGGATTCTGTATGATTTTCATTGTATGTTCTGGCTACGTTTCGAGGGCCCTTTATGTAGAGGCAGGAGCAGCTGATGTGTCTGTTTTTACTGTAGGTGTAAGTTTTGCAACCGGCGATTCTGCCTTGAAGCAACTATAGATACATTCTGTATAATAGTTCAGAAACAACACTGAGATTGTCCCCCCCCCAGCACCATCCGCCCACATGTACAGGCGTATGCATGTGCGCACACCCACCTCCTGCGTCACTGATGGCTCTAGAATGGGACCTGGATATCAGTCTTTTTAGAAGTTACCCAAGTGATTCTCGTATGCTACTGGTTTTGAGAACCAGAGCTGTGAGCAATTCTGTTATACAGTAAAACCACTCTGTTGTTTAAAAAATTAATTTCTGATATCAGCCTGGGGAAGGTCTCATGTACTTTGTCTTATTCGCAAGACATTGCCATTGTTTTTAGAGCTTTTGTTAGACTTGAAATCTTTCCATTTACCCAAGCCAGTGACAGAGCCCTTACCCTGTTATGCCGATGACCTTATTTAGATATCTTCGTAGGTTGGCTTTTATAAAAGTTTTAGTATAAAAAATTCTTTTCAAAGATGTAGAGGAGTAAAGAAAGTAAAATAACCTCCTATCTACCTACACTGAGGATAAACAATAAACTTTATTTGCATCAGATCTTTTATTTTATTTAATTAATTAATTTATTTTTTGCAGTTTTTGGCTGGAGCTGGGTTTGAACCCGCCACCTCTGGTATATGGGGCTGGCGCCCTACTCCTTTGAGCCATAGGCACCTCCCTGCCTCAGATCTTTTTTTTTTCCTTTTTAAGAAGTATTTGTAACTTCAGCCCATCCTTCCCCTTCCACCTCCTGCAGGTAACCATTCCGCTGTTCATAAAGCCTTTTTGTGTGTGTGCTTTACTGTATATGTGGATACCCTCAACAACAAACAATATACAGTTATCCCTTATTATCTGTGGGGGATTAATTCCAAGACCTCCCTCCAAGGCTAGAGCCCAAGGATGCACAAGTCTCTTCTGTGAATTGGTGTAGTGTTTACATATAACCCGCACATACTCTCCCTTATGCTTTAAGTCGTCTCTAGATTACGTATAATACAATGTCAATGCTATATAAATAAGTGTAATGCTGTATAACTTAGGGAATAATGGCAAGAAAAGTTTGTACCATGTTCAGTACTGATGCGACCCCACCACTTGCTTCTTTGTTTTTCTAAAAATATTTTCCATCCACAGTTGGGTTGGTTGAATCCATGGATGGGGAACCCACAGGTATGGAGGGAGGAGGACTTTGCGTTTTGAAACATCTCAGCTAGTGTTGGCAGTCATGTTAGTATGTGTAACTCTAGTTTATTCTGGTTATCAGTTTGTTTCTTCTCTGCAGATCTGGTTCTACAACGCACTTTTCGCATCTCCCAGCTGGGAGACCTTGAACATGTCTTCGCCCTCAGGAGTCTGTTGTTGAGAAATGGGGGTAGAAATACCCATATTGGAAGATTATCTTGAGGATTAAATGAGATAACGTGTATAAAGTGTTCAGCTCAGGGCTAACATTAGAAACATGCCCTCTTAGTGAGCCTCTTATATGCAGTTGTTTTGCCAATAAATAAAATAATATGTGAAAACGCCTGGCTCAGTGACTGCTGGGTGCTCTTTTGCCTTTTCTCCGGTCATCTCTGATCACTGCTATCCTCTGCATCCTGCCATCAGAAGAGTCAGAGGGCTGTGCAAGGCTCACTGGCTTCCCTGTCAGTATGTGCCAGGTTAGCAGAGGCTGGAGGAAGGGAGGGGGCAGTTGCCATGTGTGTGTCAGGTGCTAGAGGCAGGGGAGGGAGGGTGCTCCTTTTCCAACTGGCTTTAAATTCTGCTCTTACAACTCACTGCCCCTAAGGACCTCCTTTGTGGAAAGGGCTTGCCGTATCTTCCAGTGCACAATCTTTCATTTGGTACCTTTCGGAGGGTATCTCCACCTTTGGGTCTGCTTAACCCCTAAACTTAATTGTTCCCTGTTCCACCAAACAAACCAAGTAGATGAGGAAAAGAACACTTACAACTTTGACTCCATCTGTATAAAAACAAAGCACATCAATAAAACATGTTCTGAAATTAAAAAAAAAAAACACTTAGGCCTAGTGCGGTGGCTCACACCTATAATCCTAGCACTCTGAAAGACCAAGGTGGGCAGCTTGCCTGAGCTCAGGAGTTGGAGAGCAGCCTGAACTAGAGTGAGACCCTGTCTCTAAAAATAGCCGGGCATTGTGGCGGGCACCTGTAGTCCAGCTGCTTGGGAGGCTGAGGCAAGAGGATTGCTTGAGCCCAAGTGTTTGAGGTTGCTGTGAGCTGTGATGCTGTGGTAGTCTACTGAGGGTCACAAACTGAGACTGTCTCAAAACCAAACCAAACCTCCAAAACACTTAAATGATCTAATCTTAATTAAAATTCCCAGAAGAACTGAGAATAGATGCAGATAAATGCTATTGTGTAGCTATTAGATGTGCTATTATTTCTCAAGGTAAATGTCCCTGTTTGAGGGAGACATCTTTGACAGATGAAGTATTGTCTCAGTCTTAATTCACAGGCTCTTTCCCTGAATGTGTGCCCAGAAGATTTTCTTAGAACTGAAGGGATAGGAAAGAAGGGGAAGAAGTTGAGAGAGAATGAATGGAACCATAACTAATTGGTAGATGTTGGCTGGTTTTCACCTAGATCCTCAATCCTGGGGAACACCCCCCCCCATGGTTTAGACACTGCGCACTCATTGGCCTGGCCGATGTCCTCTGGCTGTGCTCCTACTTGGTACAAGAAATTACAGAAGTTACACAGCATTTTGCCTTTGGGAATCTATAATTGTTTCCTTGACTTTGAAGGCCCCAATTCACGTCCGTCCTTATCTCTCCTTTCCACTAGGGGATTCCCATCGAAATATCATCATGTGGCTGGACCACCGAGCTGTCAGTCAGGTCCACAGGATAAACGCAACCCGGCACAGCGTCCTGCGGTACATCGGGGGCGTGATGTCGGTGGAAATGCAGGCCCCGAAGCTGCTGTGGCTGAAAGAGGTGAGTGCATGGCATTGATGGAAGAGAGGAGGCTGAGGATCCTGGGGGGGTTCCTTAGATGGTGAGTCTGCATGTGCCAAGCAGCCTGCTGAAGTCCATCTCCCTTCACAGAGTCTGCAGCTCTAGGAAGAAGGTCAATCCTGTTTTATTGGTCGGGTTGCAGTTAGGTCACACCCATTTCTGTGTGCTGAATTCATGCCAGGCCCTGGGATAAGTACTTTATCTCTTTGAATGTTAACAGGGACCCTATGAAGTAGGGTTTTTTGTTTGTTTGCTTAAGGGTCTCTATTTTGTTGACAAGGAAACTAAAGCTCCAAGAGTAAACTGACTCACCCAAAGGGACACAGTAAGTACTTGACTAAGTCGGGATTTGAACCTAAGACTGGCTAACTCCAAAATCAGTTGTTTTAATACCCAGTACTCTACTGAAGTTCAGAGAGGTTAATTATCATTCCAACTGGGAAGCAGCAGAGCTGGGATTTAAATCCTGGTCTTCTGACCAGAGCCTGCCTTTCCTGTATACTCTTAGCCCCACATTATTCCTCTTCGGCCTTGTTAACATTTTAGGGTGTCCGTTTCTCATCTCACCTGCACGAGTTTCCAGGTCCTTGAATGATGTGGCCATCTCCGGTCAAACCTCCTGCAGATGGTTCCCATTTCCAGATGTTAGGACTCCTTTATGAAGTGTGGAGAACGGTGATGTCAACTTCATGGTTCCCGTTAGAGATGGGTGTGTGAGAAAGTTCAGGTCCTTTGGGAACCTCAGGGACTTGAAAACCCGTCGGTGGTCTGGTGACTAGAGACTCCGTCTGAGAGCAAGCGCTGCTGTGATTCCCACACTGGCTCTGGGGTTTCAGGCGGGCTGAGCCTTCTGTTGCTCAAATTGTGTATGGAGATGAGGGAGCTTAGGGGTAGCTAAGAAGGTGCCCCACGATTGCCACCGTGGGGCAGGAGAGGGGTAAGAGGAAAGGGCTTCTGCGTCAGGCAGGCTGCCTCGTGTTCGTTTTCTAGATTCAGCTGTTGTGTAAGTTTTGGTCTGCGGAAGGGCTTCTGTGGTTGCTAAGAGTTTGAAAACACAAGTTTCTTAGGAGTTTTCAAGGATCTTCCAACTCTACTGTGACTCTAATTGTGTGCTTTGGGAAAAGCCCTTCTCATCTCAGGCCTCACTTTTTCCATTCATAGAGAGTTGGATTAGGTCATTCTAAAAACCTGACTTCAGTTCACACTGAGACACAAATCAGAATACAGAACTGCTTTGCCCTGCGTCCACGCTCTGCTTTGTGTTGTATTCCCATCCACTGATTTCATCCTATCAAACTCTGCCTGGTAGGCAGCACGGGAAACTAAGGCTGAGGGAGGGGTATCTGGCTTTCTCAAAGAGAGTACAGGGCCAGAATTTAAAACAGTGTCTGCTGGGTCTAAATCCCAGCTCATTCCATCATGTCGTGCATTACTGCTATAAAATCTTGCGTCTGGCATGGTGGCTCACACTTGTAATCCTGGCATTCTAGGAGACTGCAGCAGGTGGGTTGCCTGAGCTCAGGAGTTCAAGACCAGTCAGCAAGAGTGAGACCCCTGTCTCTACCAAATACAGGAAAACTATCCGTGCCTTGTGGTAAGCGCCTGTAGTCCCTGCTACTCAGGAGGCTGAGGCAAGAGGATTGCGTGAGCCCAAGAGATTGAGGTTGCTGTGAACTGTGATGCCACAGCACTCTACCCCAGGATGACTGAGTGAGACTTTGTCTCACAAATAAATATAAAAATAAAATAAAAAATAAAATTCTTCCCCGAAGCCGGCAACTTGGGGAACGAGGGCAGTGGTGGTGTTTAGGCCAGGGTAAACTTTATTGCAAGAAAAGAAATGTGTTGGACATATTACCATTTTCTTGTCAACATAGAAAAAACACAAGACAACAGAGTTGTACTAAGTGAGGTGGATTGGGCAGAGGGTCGTCACTTCATCAGTAGGTCTTTATTTAGTACCTGTAAGGTCAGAGAGTAAAGTAACTCACCCAAAGTGACACAGTAAGTACTTGACAACGTCAGGACTTGAACCTAAGACTGGCTAACTCCCAAATCAATTCTTTTACTATCCAGTATTCTACTGAATTTCAGAGAGGTTAATTACCATTCCATCTGGGAAGCAGCAGGGCTGGGATTTAAATCCACATCTTCTGACCTTCTGACCTTCCTTTCCTGTGTACTCTTGGCCCCACATTATTCCTCTTTGGCCTTGTTGACATTTTAGGGTGACCCTTTGTCGTCTCACCTGCACTTGAGTTTCCAAGTCTTTGATTGATGTGGCTGTTACCAGTCATAAACCAGTGTCTTCTGGGTCCAGTGCAATCCGAGCACTCTCGGAGGCCCAGGCAGGTGGACTGCCTGAGCTCAGGAGTTCAAGACCAGTGTGAGCCAGAGTGAGACCCTGTCAAGCTGCACGTCCCGGGAGATCTAAGTGTACATCTGGCAGGGCCCTCTCAGGGTGCTTGCTGTCTTGCCCCTGAGATCAAACCACACTCAGCAAAGCCCATAAGAAATAATTAAGTTATAGATGACACAGCAGCGGCTGTGACCTTCTAAGAGCATCTTCTATTTATTTAAAAAAAAATCAATTCCCTTTCAGACTTTTCTAAGTTTCTAAACATTGGCTCACTTTGTATTTACGTGCAGGTTAAGCCTCCCACCCATTTGAGTTTCTTCAAGGAGTAAGCACACAAGGATTCCTGCTAGGAATCCCTTTGGTTTTAGCATGATTGCAAATTCAAAATGAGAAAGACTTTTAAAATCAGTTTTAGCATCTTCTCCTTAACTCCTTCCAGCCTGGCCATGATGGCTGTGGTGCTTCTCAATTTTCATTTGTAAGTGAATCACCTGGAGATCTCCTCAAGCTGCAGGTTCTGACTCAGGAGCTCTGGGTAGGGACTGAGGATCTGCAGATTTGCATTTCCAACCCTTTGCCAGGTGCTGCTGCTGCTGCTGGCCTGGAGACTCGTTCCATCACTTTTAATCCCAAAGACTCCTGCTCTTGCACCTGACAGGCTCCCACTTACAGAGAATGAGGACACAGCACCTTCCTCTTAATACTGCAGCAGAAGCCGCTCAAGTGCTCGTTCAGAATGAAAGCAGGAGGTTTTGTGTTCTAAGTTCTTCGAATGTCATTTATTTGCTTTCTGTTCATTCCTTAATTAGTGAAGTCCAAACAGTTCTGGGAACCGGGACAATACGGACTCTACCTTACCCTGGAGTAGCGGCACAGCATCACCTGGGGACAGAGGTAGGAGAGCAGAGGAACAGGCTGGTGGAGGGAGACAGGTTCGAAACAGAGCGAGCAGAAGATGGGCTGAGCGTTGTGCTGTAGGAATACTGTGGAGAAAATCAGTAGTTTCCCAGGGGTAGTTTAACATGAGCCTCAAGATAGGAGTGGAGTTTTTGTGTAGCAGAGAAGACAGGACACATGTTCTAGAGAACGACTCTGGAGCGTTTGTGAGATGGCCTGGAGACGGTGATGTCACTCACCCCACCTCCCCTGTGATGGGTTTTTCACCTCCTGGCTCACTCTCACCCACTCTCAGGGATCCACTTAGATCTTGGCCTGGGGTTGGCCTCACCCCTCATCCGAATGTCCTCTGCTGCCTGTTAGTGGATGGCTTAGGAGCTAAGAATGGCCTTTACATTTTCCAGTGGTTGAAAAAGAATCAAAAGAAGAATTGGCCAGGCACTGTGGCTCATGCCTGTAATCCTAGAACTCCAGGAGGCTGAGGCAGGTGGATCCCTTGAGCTCAGCAGTTCTAGCCCAGCCTGAGAAAGACCCCATCTCTGCTAAAAATAGGAATCTAGCCCAGTGTAGGGGTGGGCACCTGTAGTCCCAGCTACTCAGGAGGCTGAGGCAAGAGGATTGCTCAAGTCCAAGAGTTTGAGATTGCTGTGAGCTTTGATGCCATGGCACTCTGTGTCCAAAAAAATAATAAAAAAATGAAGAATACCTTGTGACTTGTGAAAATTACATGAAATTAAAATTTCAGTGCCTATAAATAATGTTTTCCTGGACTCCAACCACACTGATTTTTTTACATATTGTATATGGATGTTTTTGCATTACTCAGAGACAAAGACTCTGTCCTCCCAGCAGAACACGTATGCCATCTAGACCTGCATAGAAGAAGTTTGTTGACTCCTGGTCTTGACAGCGCCACCCGCTCTGCACAGAATATTCTTCCCTCTGCTCACTCACCACCTGTTTTTCCTGATCATTTTGTCTCCATGTTATTGTTGCTTTTTTAAAAATGGCTTTCCTGAGGCTGGAATAAACAGGAAGTCTCCTGTCAGTGCCCACTTCATTTTGCGTCATTGTATCTTTCATAAACTGTAATGATACGTCAGTATGATGATTTATATAACGCTTTCCTCCGTCAGCCACTGTGATTTAAAGGAGGAGGGCAGCTCTATCCATTTCGCCCATTGCTGTACTCCTATCCCTCATTAAATGGCTGATGTATAATAGTGCGAAATACATATTTTTTGAATACTTGGAATGACCCAATAAGAGGTTGTCACAGTACTCCAGGTGAGAACTAATGAGACCTAAATTAGGCACTGTGGTATGGAGAGGAGATGGGTTCCGGAGATCTTTAGAGGATAATTAATACCAAGAGGACACTGAGACGGATTGGCTGTGAGGGGTGAGTCAGAGCTGACCACTCACTTCAGCATTGCTGTCATTCAGGTTTTGCGTGTCCTTAGCCTAGAATCAGATGTCAGAGTCTGGGCAGTGTGTGGAGGTCCGTCTTCTGTCTGAAGCCAGAAGAGCTATACTAGGACCAGTGTTGGTCAGCATCTCTTGGGCCATCGTCCTGCACTATAGAATTTTAATAACGTCCTTTCCATTTAAGGTTTATGTGTTTTGGGTTGACGTCTGTCTCCTTAATAAGAATTGTCAGATAAAAGGGAAAATGCCATTTGAATTTTTCATAACCCCCAGCAGTCCGGTTTTTCCATTTGGT